TTAGTCTTTCTGACTCTTTCCTGTGTCTTTTTGACATGACTCCTACCATTTTTCCGAACTTTCTCACTTTGGAGTATATTTCAGGCTTTTTCATGTTTCCTCACTCAGGCTTAGAAATAGACACTGCTCTGAGGAGGCTGACGGGAAGCAGTTCCACCCACCATTTAAACTAATTCTGACTTCCTTGGGAGAGATTCGGAGCGCTCAAAGACTACAGATGAGGTACAAAGTACCGGCAGCCAGCACCTGAAATTTATTTCTTAGAGAATCAGTTGCCAACTTGATACAGTATCTATGAATGAGGGGCTGTCTACTACATTCTGAATGTACACTTTACATACGAGAACAGTACAGGATGGGGCAAATCCAGACTAGAAAGGACCCGAAGTCTAGATAATTTAGGGGAAGCCCTTTTTTAGGCTATGAATATAAAATTATAAATGCAAAATTAGGCATGAAAGTGAATACTACTCTAGGTTGAAGGAAAAATCATAGCAGATTTAAAATGTCACAAGATAGAAAAATACCACAAAATTCACAAAAAATAAATAACATGTCTTTAATAAATTCACTGCCTGACACCTACATATTTTGGTTGCTAATCCTTTGGTCACACTTTCACATAATGATGATTTTGTGTTATCACTATATAGACACAAGAAAGATAATTTAGGCTTCAGTCTGTGTGGTTGACCATGGTGAGAACTTACATCTTGCCTAGAGACCAATTAGAATGAAATCATCCAGTTATATGTTTGTATGTCTGATACTTGAAAGGTCCCCATATTGGTGCATGCACACACACAACTTCCACACAGACTCTGCAGGATCTAGCAACCATTTGTTCCTTGGGATGGTGAGCAATACCTTAATTATACCCAGAAGTGGTGGTAGACCCATGTATAGCTCACTAAATTCTGGCCTTCTGTGCCCAATGTAATCTCTAGCATCATCTAACATGAGGAAAAGTGGGGTGAAGAGGAAGTTGGAATAGAAGAAAACAGTAGTCTTAATCAACTGTAGTTAAAATGTCTTATTTTCGCAAATATTACAAAAACGTATGACCATGTGACTGCCCTTCTCAGCCCCCCTCCCAGGTAGCTTTATAAGCTCCATGGTAATTCTCCGTCTTGAGTAAACCATCATCTCACTGTTGAAATCTCCAACTGAGATTTAAAATACATTAACTTTCTCCTAGAACCTTTCCCACTTCCTGGAACATTTGCAGTGTGACTCTGTCTCTCTGGCACCACCCTCAGCAGACCCCACTGCACATACACAGACTTTCCACGCCTATCACATGTTCTCCAAATCTCCCACATGAACGCAAATGTGTCAGAATTTTGCACCATCTTGAAAACGATCCCTATGTATAACAAAGCGTAGTAATATCAGATATAAGTTTTTGTTCATTTCACTGGTGGAAGTTTGCATAAATCTATAGTTTATAAGAAGTCATTTGTGGACCAAGAATAAAGAATATCTTTTTACTCTTTGCTGCAATCTAAGAGCACTAGAAGTAAAACCATAAAGCAGCCATAGCAAATGATGTTTAGCCATTGTTTTGGTTAATACCATAGCACACTTACCGGCAAAATAACTTGCTTTAGTTATAATATGCTGGGTCTGTCAAGCCCAGGAGTTGCCGACAAGTATTTCAGGAAAATTTCCAAAGCTATTATTAGATATAATACAGACTTTCCTACCTAGTTTTTAAGCCACGAGATCTCCGGCAGATGCCTCAGTGATTAAACTGACAGTCATGCTTGGCATCCTGGCACAGCCAGCCTGCTCTGGGGTCAGCAGTAGCAACTGGAATCTTGGGAGAGGAATTTTTATTTTTATTTTTCAGATACTTCAAAAGGACATGCCCTTTCCCAAAGTCCGAATTTCTACCTAAACTATAATGACCCTGTGTAGTTTTTTCATAAAGTTAGTAACATACATTTAGTCTTCTTAGGGTTCAAAACCAGTACTGCATTAGCTTGAATACAAAAATGATAAATCAGCAGTACTGGAAAACAACTTCTTGACTAGATCATATTAAAAACATGAGAACAAAGTTTCAATTATGCAAGATGAATAAGCTCTAGATATTTACAGTACAACACCATGCCTTTAGTTAACAATACCTTTTTTTACACATTTAAAATTTATTAAGATGTTAGAACTTATATTTTCATCACAGTAAAATCAAATGAAAATAGTTATCTAGCTGTGCCATAAAGGCTGTGGTGAAACGGAGGCAGACAAGTCAAAAACAACCAAGCCATCTTGGAAGGGGTCCTGCTGCTGATAAAATGTAGCACATTTTGAGCATCAAAATGAATAATGACAGAAATAGAGGATAACAGAGAATTGAAAAAAGGGTCAAAGGGTACAAAGTTCTAGCTGGGTCGGAACTGCCTGCATGATTAGTATAGTTAATAACACGGAATTTGATCCCCAGCACTATAAAATAATCATAGTAATAATGAATAACATAATTGAAAATTGCTAAGGAGTAGATCATAAATGTTCTTACCATAAAAACCTAAGTATGTGAATAGGCACGTTAATTAGCTCAGTATAATCATTTTACAGTGTACAGATATATCAAATGCATTCAATGTTTATTTGTCAATTAAACCTTAATAAAATTTGGGGTAAATCAGGTCAAAAACTGGAGGATGAAGAAAAGGTATAAGTACACATTGACTAAATTATTTTTAAGGGAAAGAGAGGAAAAAGCAAGGTAAATCAACTAGCAAATGTAAATGCAATGATAGAAACAGAAAATTAGAATTTAACTACCACAAAGTAACCAGTTCAGGCAACAATCATCAGAGGAAGTTACAGCCACTTAATGAAAATTTTGGGGAACAGGATGTTATTCACACAATTTTCCAGTGTCACTGTGTAGATTACATTTGAATTGTAAAAGAAAAATGTTTCCTTATAATGGAGTTAGTTACTTGATCTCATAGTCTCACTGTGGAGATTAAATCTAAAAAAGGAAGACATTTCTTTACAGTGGAGAGCTCATGCAGGCCCAAACTTTACCTTAACATCAAGAGTAATGGAACACAGTGGTCACAGTGTCCCCTGAGAAGGACACTGAGAGAACAGAACACTGGCCATGCAGACACCCTGCCAGCAATGCTTAATCTGAATCCAATCAGGTGGAAACAATGAAACATCCAAAATGGAGGACATTCTGCAAATCAGTAGTCTGGACTTTTAAATGATACCAGTGTTATGTGTGGTCCAGCAGCACAAGCACCAAAGTAACCTAGAGAATTATTTAAAGGAGATTAAAATGTGTCAACTCAATACAGCTTTGCTTTTGGGATTGGATCTTAGATTAGAAAAAGAAAACCATGATTTAAATGACATTACTGGAACAATCAAGGAAATAGGAGTAGACTGTGTGCTACACAGTAGTACTCTGTCAGAACTACTTTATCAATACTCCCAGACATTTTGAGGTCCCAGGATGTTAACAGTTGAGGCATTTAGGGTGAAGTGCCTTGATATCTGTAACAAGTCTCAAATGGGTCAGCAGGAGAAGCTACACACACAGATACTCTTATCAATGACATACACATGTAAATACACACACACACATATATGAAACATTAATCAACATAGTTTTACCTCAGAGAGTAAGATAGTCTATGTGCAAAAATTAATATTTAGTAAAGTCAAGTGACGGGATATCTGAGTATTTCTTGTATTATCTTCGCGACATGATATGATTTGACATTGATCAAAACTAACACATTAGAAGTTACAGTGAGAGACATTAGGTTCAATTTGAAAAGAATGATCAGCAAATTGCTCAGTGAGGAAGATTCACTGTTAGGGAGACGACAGAACTGCAAAGACAAGGACCTTTCCAAAACAGCCTATGGGAGCAGTGGGATTGACCAGGTGAACTTGGGAGGTCTGCTTGGTGTTATAGTTAAAAAAGAGACAGAACTAGGAAAACATTTTAAATATCATACTTAATGTTGGCCAGATTAAGATTTAAACTTTATTAGTTTTTTCTCTGCAAACACAATGGTACGATAACCGTCACTCTGTGTCAACCTCATGGGGTTATTTGGCCCCAAATTCTCTTCTCTAATTTCCATCTTAAAAGTTTGAATGCATTTCATCTCTCAAAAGAGATATTTTCCACTGACTTTATTATACTCCCATTAAATACGGATTTTCCTAAATCAATTTTTTAAAGAGTTTTCCATCATGTACTGTGACAATAATTTGTAACGCAACTACTGCATAAAAAAATTATTCCAGAGGTTTTCCTTTGTGTTGCTTTTCAGGGATTTGGTAATTGGGTGTGTTCAATACTAACCATATGTTACAAAATTTTATAGTCTTCAGTCAGATTGTCTTGTTTTTCCAACCTGAATAACATCCCAATCTTTTAAATCAGTTATTGCCATTTCTATGTCACCCAGTTACTTTTAATTGTCTTTCTTAGGTCTTCCCCACACACTTACATTTTTTTAGAGGTAAAATGACTGGAATAGGACTTACTTTTCTGCCCTTATACAGGCTAAGGTCCAGTAAGTTTCTTCTTCTGTGTGTGCGGTTCCGGGGATCAAACTCAGGACTTGGCACTTTGCAGGCAGGCGCAGTGCCACTGAGCTACATTCCTGGCTTCAACACTTTCATTTCTAAGACTTTGATAATGTCAATGTCAGCAGTATTTTTAAATTTCCTAATGTAATATAACTGTTGGGATAAATATAATTTCAAGGGACAACCTGCAAGACCTTTCTTGAAGCAAAAATAGGGTCTTAAAAATAATCTTTTTATAAATATAAAATGTGATTTCTACTTTCTTCCATAAAAGAATTATACCCATATGCCCACAACAGAATCGAACTTTTGTGGTCCCTAGACATTCACAATCTATTTCTGGTACATTTAATAGCACCAAATTCAAAAGTGGAGAGGGATCAAAAATCAATGTAGAGCCTAGCTGCCCCTGTAGGGATATTTTATCACCCAGGCCAAAGTTTGCCAAAGTAAGGCTGAAGGCTTCCATCCTGGAGCCCAGTGATCACAGATGCTGTGGCCTGAGATGTTTTCAGTGAAGGTGGGAAGAAGGTGCAACGCTGGTGATCATCTGCTCCATTAATCCTCAGTGCGCGCTGGAAATCCATGTGGCTCCCTTAGCAGTACCGCCTCTCTCAAGTTTGATTCAATCTCACCTGCAAGTTATTAAGGACAGCATCTTGCAAGGGGCTTTGAAAAACTATATAAAACTCAAGGCTGCTTTAGAATGAAACTGAGCTTTCAGAGATATTGGAAATGTAATCTGAAAACAAAAATATCTCCAGAACTAAGACAACTATGCCTAGAAATATAAGCCCCATGCCTGTAGATCTCAGAATAATATTAGAACGTGGAGGATCCTTGAGAAATCATTTGATCTTATCTTCTACCTTCAGACACTTGAAATGTAAATGTTTTAAGAGACAAGACAAAGTATGACTCTGTTTTGAAAATCTCTAGGGTATAAGACACACTGTCCTCCTTTCTGGGGGCAGAAATGTTCTCCCCTAATTTCACCGGGGTTCTCAAACACAGAGGACAAGTGATCACCCCGACTCCTGAAGACATGGCTGAAGCTACTCTATTACCCACATCTTCTCATGCTTTCACAACTCCATTCCTCTTTTTTTTCTCATAGGATCTATATTCCATACAGCACTTAGTTATCCTTCTTTAAATTCACACAAAATTCTCTAAGTGTAGTTCGTAGACTCTTCAGAGTCCCAAGACAGCCTCAGTTCTGCAAAGTCTAAAATATTTCCATAAGGACACTAACACTTTGTCTTTCTCTCTGTATTGGCCTTTGCGTGGATGATACAAAACCTATGATGTGTAAAACTGCTGGTGCCTGAAGATGAGTTAAATGCAAGGACATCAAATAACTATGAGGTGTGATCAAAACATATGGTGAATGCATAAATGCACAATAAACTTATTATAGTAAAAGTTACATTGCATTAACCCACTCATCTAAATATATCCCCGTCCCCACTTAGAAAACGCTGATCTCATTCTTTTCACCACATTCTGAAGCAGTTCTAGAAGTGCTTTTTTGTTTTAGTTTGTTTTTTGTCTTTGGTTGCTCTATAGTGTCTGCACCGATGTCCCGAATCAATTCAAAACTTTACTGTTAACGGTCATTTTGACTTTGGGAACAACCAAAGTCACAGAATGCCAGATCCTATGCATTAGGTGGATAAGCCACACGTTATGTTTTTACCAGCCTGCCTTTCCTTTGTATGGAACTCAGCATCAGCACTGACTGAGTTTTTCATCACACCTCATAAAGACACTCATAAAGCGGACTACATAAGAGTGTCTGAGAGGGGTTAATGGCAACATGTGTTTTATTGTAATAAATTGTTAAAATTTAAATATTATTTAAATATACACTTTGTTCATGCTTTATAGTAATCCTTATTTTTACTACCATAATTGAAAAACAAAGAGAAATTTCTCTCAAGAATGTCCTTGATAAGGTTGTAATGTTTACGACATTATTAGCTTCATTACAACTCAAGCCTTTGGTAACTAGTCCTGGATGGAACATCTTAATCAATATCTCTGATATACACCCAAGTGCCATGACTGCCTCAAAACAAAAACAAAATGAAAATTATTGAGGGAATGAGCTGGGAGCTGAAGGAGTCACTTTCTTGCTGAAGCACAATTTTCTCTTGAAAGAATGGCTGACAGAAAAACTATGGTCATTTAGATTTTTATATTTGGCAGATATTTTCTTAAAATAAATGAAATGAATCTAAGGAAAACTCAGATTTGTTTTGTTCTGTTTTGTTTTGCATCTTGGAAAACTACTGTTCAGCACTGAGCTTGACAAATTTCCAATTCTTAACGTCTTTTATGATGAGGCAGATGATAATAGCAACGAATGCAAATTTTTCATTTTGTATAAGAAGGTTATAAACATCTAGAGGATCTGTGTATCCCAGGAAAATAATATTCTTCAAATAACAAATGCAAGGAGCCACAGAATTATGCATACACTAAATATCTGTTTAAAGTTAGAAAAATCAATGCATTTGCTGCAACAGAAGAGCACAGAAACTCACTGACAGTTTCACACTCCATGGTGCAACTAATCTTTTAAAAACTACTTCTTATCAAAATTTGGTGTCCTACCAAAGGGCATGAATACTAACTCAGCAATAAAAAGCAGTGAAATTTTGATACACACCACAGCAAGGATGAATCTAAAGACTTCACACTGAGAGCAATTTGAAAAGGTAGCATATTTTATGATCGCCCTCATGTAACAAAATGGAAAGACAGAGTGACAGTAATGGAGAACAACTCAGTGGCTGCCGAGGATCTGATGGAGGGAGAGTAGGAATATAGCATTGCAGAGAAAAAGTTTTCAGGGAGCCAGAACTGTGTGCCTGTGGGGGCAGTTGCATGAACCTACACGCGTTGAAACCTTTAGAACAAAATTGTCTGCTTTGATACGTTAATTGAAAAATAAATCAAGAAAAAAAAACTTAAATCACAATGTTAGCTTAGAGAAGATACTCAGTACATATTAGCTTTCTATGTGTTGAATCCATTCTAAATCCTGAGCATTATTCTTCCTTTGAGATGAGTCTACACTTATAAACAAAATTGCAATAATTACCCCTGGTGATACACATGCTAGTTTCATGAAGACAGTGAAGAAGCTGAAGTCTGATGTAAGTTTTGTTTCCAGTCGTGCTTGTGACTTCAGGAAAGCAGATACCATCCGCTCTATCAACCTCATCCTAGAAACTGTGAAGCTCCTTTGATGAAAGTAACGACTGCAGCTAATTTACATTGAATGATCTCTATCATCAGCCCCCCAGGGATGGCAAACCTTTTAGAGACCAAGTGCCCAAACTGCAACCCAAAACTCATTTATTGCAAAATGCCAACACTGCAATTAAACCTGAATGCTGAGGTTTTAGTTTAGAAAGAAACAACTGTTAACTGATGCTTCACTGCTGGAGCAACTTGGCTCGCAGGCCTTCAGAGAGGGCTTGGCGCGCCTGTTGCAGCGAAAACATCATAGGTTCACCACCAGCCAAGACTTACATACAGTCACCTCATTTAAACCTCGGGACAAACCCACCAGTGAGAGCCTGTCATTTCAAGGTCACATAGGTCATGGCCCATGAAATGTTTGCATGCAGTCACTATGTGAAGTATGCTCTGTGCTGAAGTTACGGGGACCCCGTTTTTACCAACAATGGGTGTTAACGGGGAAGTTACCTTTTGTCCTATATCGTATAAATCACACATCTTTCCAAATTCAAGAGCAATATGTATTTCAAACAATTACCAGTGAAATATTTAATTACATTGTAAAAGTTCCAATTAAAGTGCCAACTTTTCCAAAGCTAACTTGGGCAACATTTATGTCTCCCATTCCTTAGATCAAGGATGGTAAGACTGAGACACTAAACTAAAACAAAACATGAAGAAAGTCTAATCCCATGACTTGAACAGACAAACCTGCTCATTACTCCTGGACTCCACCACATGCTGTGGCTTCTCTGCTGATTTTTTCCTAAGAGTCACTCATTTCAGGGTTTCTTCTACTACCGTGCATTTGAAATAATTTGAAGTCTTACTGTTTAAATTTCCTGATTTAAAGTCTCATTCTTAGGTGAACCACATAATTTTTAAAATTTTATTTATTTATTTATTTATTGGGGGGCCGGGGCTCGAACTCAGGACCTTGCACTTGTGAGGCAGGTGCAGTACCATTGAGTTAAATCCTGGCCTTAATCACATAACTTTTAAAGTTCGTCATAACAGTAAGAATAATATTGACATATAATGCTATTTTTAAATGTTCACTTTTTTACAAAAAAGTAAGATATATTCTATAATTTCCTAAGACTATTTATTAGCAAGGGGATGGTTTCATACTGAAGTAGTGTCATCCTTCTCTAGAATTCATCAGAAAATGAGATGTCAGAATTTTAATGGCGGAGAAGTTTGTGGAAAACATCAAGATGCCACGAGTACACTCTGCATTACCACCTTATTAGATTTACAAAGCAAACTGGAGAAACATCTGACTTCCAAGAGGCACAGTGTGGAAGCTGGAACAATTTCTGTCACTTCCAGGAAACATGCACTGTGGCATCCAGTCTTTCAAAGGCAAACCTCTTTAACAGTGTGGTTGGGAAATGCTAAACTTATTAGGATTGGCACTTGCCCAGTTTTTATTCCCAATTCTTGGGACTGCTGATATAATTAAACTATTATTGTAAATAACCTGGGAATATTTTGAAGAAACATCAACACATCTCATAGTCTTTTTGTACATTCTGACGAGTTTAATAATAGTAATTATTAACTGAGGTCTATGTATTGAGCAAAACTACAGGGTTCATATGCATGGTCACACATTATAATGAAGAGAAGTTTTGGGGTGGCTCTTGAAAACCAATTACTCTTAAGGCTTAAGTTTTGTGGGTCCCTAAATGTACTTCATGAAAACCTACAGCGCCAAAGCGTGGAGACTGCCTATGCCACCCAAAGTGCCTCACCATGCTGGCCTTGAGGTCTCACCTGCGGTGTCCCTTCCTCTGTGACCCTTCCCGCACAGGCCGGTCTGACACCAGGCAGCCTTGAAGTCCCTTAGGGCAGAGCTCATGGACAGGAGTCCTTTGTGCCCCATGCAGTGACCCGCTTTCCTGAAGGGATGCTGAAGTGTGGGCCTTGAGAACCTGTATTTGCACACATGCACACCTTGCTCTCTGTGGGGAAGAACAAAAATTTTCATCTGATGACTAAAGAGGCTCAAAAGAACCCCACTGGGTCTAATCTGTTCCCTTCTTTCTTCTCCATCCCCCACCTCATGTTAGCACCTTCTGCTTGGAGACTGCCGTGGCTTCTGGCTGGTCTCCGGCCTTTGTCTGCCCTCCTTATCCCATCCTCCACGGTGCTGCCAGGATTACCTTTAAAAACCTAGGCCTAGTGTCACTATCACTTGGTATCCGTTTACACACTTAGCAGTATGTTGAGTACAGGAGGTGCTCAATACCTATTCACAGAATGAATGAGCGAGTGAGTGAGCACCTGCTGACAGCCTGAGTCCTCATTTGGGACCCAAAAATAGATCTCCCTGGCTTGCTTTCTGTGCGCCCTCGGAGCCTCTGAGCCATGGGCATGG